GGGGTGCAAATAATCCCCACCCCCACCCCCAGAAAATCCGTGCCTGGTATCGTTTCGAGCGCAATTTGACAAATACATGCAAGAGTGAGTTTTTCAAAGAGTGCAATTTGAAGTCTTTGAAAAACTCGGGAGTGTTGTTTTTTAAAATTGCACGAGAAACCATACTATTACTTTTAAAGTTTGTTTGTTCACTGCAACCAGGCATATCAGTCATGTTTCGCTCCCTATTCTGGTTTAAATAAATGATTACAAAGCCCAGTCGAATTGTAATCATGACCCAACGTTTCGACACTCCAGTCTAGTGTCTTCATCAGGGGTGATCTAAAACTGCGATCGTGGCTTCTTAAATACCCAAGGGATGACGTCACCTGCCAATGAGATGCATATATTCCTCTGGCAAATTGGCACCGTCATCCCTATTCAAAGCATGATTACTCATATTTATACTATTACTTCTTAATAATATACATGAAAAAATCACGCAATCACTCCTAAAAACTCCGATATGCTTTTTTTACTGTTTCTGCTGCAAATTGCTGCATCTTATTGGCTATCTTTGTTATTGTTTTATATTTTAAGCCAATCAGAAAGCCTAAATAGTCCATGAAACTTGCAGTGCACAATGAAATTTACAGCTGTAACCACGAAGAAGAACAGTTTAGACCTGATAAAGCTATCTACCATAAGCTTATAACTACATGAACATGCTTTGCGTTAAAATGCACCATCAAAATGCAAAAAAAAATTCATCGCAATCAGGGGTAATCTTCCTGATCTCATGTGAACAAGTCCTATAAAATACAAAACGACAGTAACTCCAAATAACATTTTGTAGCTTTAATGAATCTACGATTCGACTACATTTTAGTCATCATGAAAATAAAATATATTCCAAACGTATAGATTCATTAAAGCTACAATATGTTATTTGGAGTTACTGTCGTTTTGTATTTTATAAAAATACTCAAACTATTGGCCAAGTCCTATAACTTACAGTTGATTTCACGAAACTTTGGCCACGCCAATTGCGAGGTTGGTTGGGAAGTTGGGAACTGTAAACACGAGGTCATCAAGTTGATTGGAAACCGGCCAATCAAATTCGGAAGTTTCGCATCAAATTATCGAAATTCCTAATGAAATTCCGAATCAATGCAACGATTTTGGCGGTAAATTTTAAAAACTAAACTTATTGTATTAAACTTATTATAATTTTAAAAACTGAAATTATATTATTTATTATTAAATAAATAAGTTTAATACAATAAATTTTCATTACGAATTTCATTAGAATTTCATTAAGAATTTCGATAATTTGAATTTCGAAACTTCCGAATTTGATTGGCCAGTTTCCAATCAACTTGATGACAGATGACCTCGTGTTTATAGTTCCCAAATTCCCAACCAACCTTGCAACTGGTCCACAAGAAGTATCTCTTGACAGTTTCTCTAGACCTAGTTCTTTTAAATGTTATCTCAAGCACAAATATTCAATCTTAGTTAACTCTATTTACGACATAGACGTGTCTTGCACGTGGTCTTTGACTCGCGACTGTCCTTGCCACAGGTCCAAACTGTTTATTAACATTATGTAATAATAAACGTTTAACTTAATAATACCGTTATATAATACATGATATAAACATAACACAACATAATATAGTTGGTAAACCTTGAGTGGGTACATTTACGATTTGTGCCAGTTGTTTCCCGCGGTTCGTTCATTAAATAGGAATACAATGCATTGTGGGAAGCAACTGGGGGATTTACTAACCCTCGATATTTATGAGGCGTATGCACCTCCGACGTTCACTAGAACAGTATAGATTTTCAATTAGAACAGTAAATTTTTACTAAGTTTGGGCAGGTGCCTTGCATGGTTCTTCGAGTCCCGTTTGCGCCTCGCCCATTTAGGCTCTCCGAATAATTAACTTTATAATTAGACTTTGTACATATACTGTAGTGGACCCTAATAAAGACAATAATAACAAATGCAACATACCATTGATCCTTGATCGCTGACTTTAATAATCGGCTCATTCTTTCGTAAGTCCCATACGACACAGCGCCCACACGGTGACGTTGAGGCCAAAATATGTTGAACTTGTCTATTCCACGACAGACAACTTATGTTATCAGGGGGGAGTGATTTAGCTCCGGGAGTAAGGGGGTTGTCAGGACTATTTAGATCCCAGACGTAGATTTCAGAATCAGATGCGCCGGAGGCCAGGAGGTTTGGTTGGAATGGATTGAGGTCCAATGCTTGTACCGCTCCTAAAGAAAAATGTGGGTGTTACCCTGTCCCATTGTGCAGTGACGCTTCATGCTGAATCAATCTCAACCGAGCGAGAGTTTCCATGAGAGTTTTCTCAACATTCATTGCTTGATCGAACGAGAACAAGAGTTGCATGAGAGTTGACAAGCGAGAGTTTCCATGAGACTTTTCTCAACATTCATTGCTTGATCAAACGAGAACAAGAGTTGCATGAGAGTTGAGAAGCGAGAGTTTACATTAGAGTTTTCTCAATTTTCATTGCTTGATCAAAGGAGAACAAGAGTTACATGAGAGTTGAGAAGCGAGAGTTTACATGAGAGTTTTCTCAACTTTCATTGCTTGATCAAACGAGAACAACAGTTACATGAGAGTTGAGAAGCGAGAGTTTACATGAGAGTTTTCTCAACGTTCATTGCTTGATCAAACGAGAACAAAAGTTGCATGAGAGTTGAGCAGTGTATTTACTGCGTGTGTAGCCAAAACATCAAAATTAAAGCCATTTTTATGAATAATATACGTAAGTACCTGTATGTTTATCATTTTGAATGAGAACAGCATCGTCAGTTTCTCCATTCAATATCTTGACAGGATTCCACAACACAACACTACCGCTGTCTGTGCCTCCGACCAGTATGCCAGATGGCGTCTCTTCCGTCTCCATACCATATGTACCCCAGACGAGCTTGTGGAATCTGGCGAATTTTGGAAGATACACTTAACTATTACGCAGAATTAGATGCACGAAAACTAGGATTTGAATGGACCTATTCCCTAATGAACAGAATTTTGATCTAGACAAGTCAAGACAAACATTTCACCACAGCTTGAAAGAGGTTCACAAAATTAGTAATATTCCAAAGTTTCGTTGCGAAATGTTGTAAAAAATGCGGATAATATAGCCTTGCGAAGTTTACCGTTTTTCAGTCATTTTGTATTACGCATGGGAAATTGGTACCGCTTTCAGAAAAAAGGTATCAATTTCTCATACGTACAGTAAATACAAAATGACTGGAAAATGGCAAACTTCGCAAAGGCTGTAGTATTATATGCATTTTACAACATTTCGCAACAAAACTTTGGAATATTACTAATTTTTCGATGCTCTTTCAAGCTGTGATGAAATTTTTGTCTAGACTTGTCTAAATCAAAATTTTGTTTATTAGAGGAATACTGTCCATTAACAGTGTACACATCGTTCTGGACCAAATAGTGAAACAATGCCCAACAGATTTGGGACTATTAATGAACAACTTTTTGCTGTATATAACAAATCAATTAGAATCTGTAGAATTGTTTGTATTTCCAATTGTGTAATACCAATTGATTGTTGAGAAAATATGTACATGTACTTTAAAAGTTATATATACATATATATTGTTGGTACAGATTGCATTTTAACATAAAACCTTTTTATGCATGAAGTGCTTTAGCATAACATTTTGTGAATGGTTTCAAAAACGTTGGTTGCAGTAACATGTTATTTCAGAACCATCCTCAGAGATACTAAAAACCAGTTTCATATGAAACATGTTATGTAACATGTTATGTTAGAAATTATCATTAAAGAGCATTGTTACAGTAACATGTTATTTCAGAACCATCCTTAGAGATACGAAAAACTAGTTTCTCGTAACATGTTATGAAACTAGTTTTTCGTAACATGATATGTTAGAAATTATCATTAAAGAGCATTGGCAAGCAATAAAAAATCAGTTTGTCTCATTCAAACTCTTAAATTAAAATCATACATTAAACTCTATTACAGATTGTTTATATCTTGCTTAGTTCTCGAAATATTTAGACCAAAATTAATGAGCTTTCCGCCATCTTGGACTAATTCTTTACCTCATTAACTATGGTTTTGATGACGTCAGGAGTTGGGTTAAATAAAATAAAACTATATACTCTAAAATGACCGAGTAAGAATCCAAAATTGTTTGAAATGTTTTTAATCATTTCTAAATTTCAGACAGCAACCAGAAACGAAGTTTTGGACCCATATTGATCGCTTACTCTCAAGATAAAAACTTAGCGTGACCCCTCTCTTGACGTAACATGCATATCCTCAATAATCCAAGATGGCGAACAGCTCACTTTTTTCAGTTGAAATATTTTGAAAACTAAGCAAGATCTAAACAATCTGTAATAAAGTTTAATATATAGTTTCACGAGCTCTTTCACATGAACTTGACAATGTCCTTTCAATTAAAAAATCAAAACAAAACATCATCATTATAAAATTGGTATCAGCAATACATTACAGACCACATCAATTCTGTTCTGTGCATCAGTTCTGCTCATAACAAAGGGGACCCGCAGATATAAACATTGCCCAAATTTTGCATCTTTCAAACTTTTTTGAATTGATACATACTCTAGTTTATATTCATTTACAATAACCAAAAAAGTGTTAGATATTCAGTTAGTATAGGTCTTATTTTAGAAATATAGTAGTTCAAAATGTAAACAAAGGATTTGTTTACATTACAGACGAGAATCAGTCACTGGTAATTTACAATTGTGGCACAATCAGTCGACACAGCCTGCGCAATCAGGCTATTTTATTGGTGGAATGCTTTCAATTTGACCATAAAATGGGTGTTTACATGAACAAAGTGAACAACAGGCTGGCTATTAGCATAGTCAAAACATGGATAATAAAATAAATGGATAGGACTCTAGCTGACGTAAGCAAAAAGAACCTAGTTGCAATCTATGACGTCACGCGTATTGCAAAGTTCTCGGCATTTTTGTTGTTTCGCTACACTTTCCACTTTAAAAGAGTAATATTGAAGCATATACTGGTCTAATTGTTTTAAAAACATGCCTAAGCCACGACAAAGTATTCAAGGTAAATGTTTTTCGTCTTTGTTTTGTATTTTTTTTTACATTTGTAGCTACGAAATTGGCATCCCCAATTTTAACGAAATTTGGGATGCCTTTTTCACTGTTTAGTGCTTGAAATATTTGCTAAAATTGACTGGGAATACTTAGAGGTTTCATCAAAGAATGGCGTGGTTATATTCATTTGCTCTTTGACTAAAATGTTTAGCTGTATTATTGCTAAACATGCCGTTTTTGAGAATTTGGTTTGCAACTAGGTTTCAACATCCAATCACGCCATCAGCCCATTGAAAACATTAGGTCACGTCAACTTGTTTCCTATCCATTTATTTTATTATCCATGATCAAAATAACACAACAACAAAAACAACAACAACAAAAACAACAACAACAACAACAACAACAAACAAAAACAACAACAACAACAACAAACAACAACAACAACAACAACAACAACAACAACAAACAACAACAACAACAACAACAACAACAACAACAACAACAACAACAACAACAACAACAACAACAACAACAACAACAACAGCAACAACAACAACAACAAGTATTTACCTGTGCTCTGAAGAGAGCATTCCCTTCACAGGCATTTCTCTGTCATCACTGGTCAGATCGAGAGCAAATATCTCCAACGCTGCTGAAGTGCTTTATAACAGAAAATAAACAGCATCTTTACAAAGAACTTTATTTACCATTGATCACTCTCCCCTTGATGAGTAAAATCATCTCGCATCAGACAGAGATACCAATATATTGGGGTGCATTAACCCATTAAGCGCCAGCGCTCTCCCTTTGACGAGTAAAATCGTCTGGCGTTAGACAGAGTAAAATACTCTGGCGTTAGACAGAGTAAAATACTAAAGTAGGGTGCGTCAGGGTGCAATGCGACTCAATGGGTTAACTAGACACATGGGCAGATAGGCCAGTTAACCCATTAAGCGCCATCGCTCTCCCCTTGACGAGTAAAATCATCTGGCATTAGATGGAGTAACACACTAAAGTAGGGTGCGTCAGGGTGCAATGCGACTCAATGGGTTAAGGTCAAAGAAACAAATTCCTGGGTTTCTGGTTTCCTGACCTTGCATTGCTTTTGACAATTGAAATCACCAACACTAATATTTTATCTGAAGTGCCCAATGACATTGGAGCAATTTTTACAGTATCAATTTTCTGGGTTAGTTTTGTACCAACCCAGGGCAGACCCAACCTTGTTTCGCACACATGCAACACCTTTGCCGAATTACATGACTACTAGCAAGCTCGCTGAAAGCTGTTGCAAAATAACAACAAAAAAAAACATTATAGACTAATTTTAAAACTAGGCAAGGAGATACAAATAAATCACCACAGCTAGAAAGAGCATACTAAAAATATTAGCAAACTTGCAAAGTTTGGTTGCGAAATGTTGTAAACCGGAAATGCGGAAAATATAGCCTTGCAAAGTTTGCAAGATTTGGAAATTGCTACCATTTCCGGCCCAAATGTGGTAGCAATTTCTGCACGAAATACAAGATAAAATTTGTATACAGTACATATATACAAAATATATGCATACAAAATTTGCAAGGTTATATTTTCCGCATTTTACAACATTTCGCAACCAAACTTTGTAATAGTACTAATTTTAGTATGCTCTTTCTAGCTGTGGTGATTTATTTGCATCTCCTTGCCTAGTTTTAAAATTAGTCTATAATGGGAGTCTGCAACCCTGTGATTCTGGTAAAGCACTTCTAACCAAGTTCTTAGTGCATCATATTCACATGAGTACATAATACCAACACAAAAAAGTCATGATTACGAGATTGCACTGATATCCAAGGAACTAGAATGCTCGAACCAACCAGACCGCGTAGCTCAGTTGGCAGAACATTCTAAAGTATTCTAAAGGCCATAGATTCGATTCCCACCATGGCCAGGCATATTTTTCAAGCTTGCCCGGTGTGGGTATACACTCAGAGTGACGTCACAAACACCAACTTAGGGCCTGTTCATATGGGCAGAAGTTATCCCGATTAGCGAGAAAACTTTTCGACAAGTTTACGAGTGAGATCTCGCCTTGTTACGAAAATAATATGAAAAGTTACATTGCATTCATATGAGACGAAAAGTTTTCTCGTGTACCGAGATTTCGCTTGTTGACAGGTGAGATCTCGGTGACCGGGATAATGTTTTTCCCATATGAACACAACTTTCCCGCTTAGCGGGATAACTTTTTGTCATGTCAGCAACTTTTCAATTCAATTGATGTTCAGTGCTGCGTCACAGCCGGAAACTTTTCCCGGTAAGTGGGATAATATTTCTCCACATGAACAAAACAAAAGTATTTGGCTAGTCGAAAAGTTCTCTCGTTAACCGGGATAACTCTTGCCCATATGAACAGACCCTTAGTCGAGTTGTCAAGCACAACCCTCGAAATTCAACTATTTTTGCCTCGGCAAATAATTGCCGAAGCCTTTCGATAATTTTCGAGTTTGCCTCGGCAGTGCCTCTGCAATTTTTTTTGCCGAGGCACGCAATGAAATCACCTTAAATTCCTTCGGCAATTACTTCGGCACCCTTCGACATTCACGTCGGCAGTTGTAATTAAAGTAAAGTACATACGGAAATTATTGTAAACAAATATTGTAACGAGCGTAGATTTTGAGACTTCTGACGTTCGACAATTTATTGTTATTTTACAAATTCCTGATTCAAAATGTTTTTAAAAAGTTAGTGGTAATTTACAACCAATTGTATGAAAGAATAAACTTGACGGTAAAATCACGCGACAGTCTAAAAGATAAAACAAAGTTTCTTGACGTACTGTCTTTAAACCATCAAGATTGTTCTTTATTTCAACCGAAGCCGACGCTGCATGAAAAGCTCAAATTTAAATATTTTGTAAAGTAGCTATGAATGAAATTTTCTGTTGTCCACCCAACGTCGATGACAACAATTCGAACAAAGAAGTGATACAAAAAACTAACACTGTAGTTTGTATATTTAAGAAGAAAAAAACGAACAGAAACTGTAGTTTGTAAGTTAAGGAACAGCGGGTGGAATTGTCTCGGCATTTTTTTGCCGAGGCAAACTATGAAAAATTGTAACTTGCCTCGGCATTTGCGTCGGCAATTGCCAAGTGCCGAGGCAAATTTCGAGGGTTGCAAGCACTAACCACAAGTATTATTCCTGCCATAGAACACAGTAACACTTAATGGGTTATGCAACAAAACATTTGCAATAGTTCAAAAGCTTACCTAAAGGTGGCATCTAGCTGTTGAGCTGCAGTTCCCGCAGCCAGATATATTGGATGATGCGATGCAGGACTCCAGGCAATGTTCGCCGTTCTAGCTATTTCTTTCACCTTCATTTTGCATCAATGATTGGTCCTCTAAGAAAAAACACTTTAGATCAATAAGAGATGACCCTTACTGGATATGTAGCTATTCAGCAATACAAGTATGAATAAAGTTAGTTTAGTTTAGGTTTACTTAAAAGTAGTAACACTCAATCAATAAAAGATTATTGTTTACACTGGACTTCAAGGGAGAATAGTTTAGAACGATAGAGCTATCCAGTATAAATAAAGTTAGTTTATTTTAGGTTTCCTCCTGTAGTAATGTCTCAATCAATTCCATGGGTGCCCAACTCCCCCCCCCCTCTCGGGCATTTGTTGGGCTTTTGTCATTTTGGCGAAAAAAACTGTTGCAAATGCCCCAGTATGGGGTCCAAATAATGCAACAAAATCCCCACCCTTGGAGACTTACATTGACGCAAATGCCTCACCCTTGGGGGACAAAATATAAGTTTTCTGAGGATTTCCGATCCAAAAAATCGAATCCAAGCTCTATCACGTACAATATATCTGTAGCCATTTCGTTTCAAACCGTTTTTAATTAAAATATTGAAGTCTCAAAACTTTATATAGAAATATCAAACTGTATCAACAGGATGGCCAAGAAAAAAGTCTTGTGTATGAGTGTATGTCCGCCATGATTAATTTGCGATACGCACGCTCGTGTAAACATGCATACAAAAGTACGGCTAAATGGCAAAACAAGCAATAAATATTCGACTTTTTAGCCTCGAGCAAATTCCCCACCCCATGGCTAACCCTGCAAAAAGCAAATGCCCGACCCTGGGAACAAGTACAGTTGAGAATGCCCGACAAATGCCCGGGGAATGGGCAACCATGGAATTGATTGAGACATAACACTGGATCAATAAGAGATGAACCTTACCGGACCTCTAGAAACAACAGTTTAGAACTGATAGAGCTATCCAGTATAAATAAAGTTAGTTAAATAGTCTAGGTTTCCTCCTGTAGTAACACTGAATCAATAAGAGATGAGTCTTACTGGACCTCTAGGAAGAACAGTTTAGAACTGATAGAGCTATACAGTATAAATAAAGTTAGTTTAATTTAGGTTTCCTCCTGTACTAACACTGAATCAATAAGAGATGAGTCTTACTGGACCTCTAGGAAGAACAGTTTAGAACTGATAGAGCTATCCAGTATAAATAAAGTTAGTTTAATTTAGGTTTCCTCCTGTAGTAACACTGGATCAATAAGAGATGAGTCTTACTGGACCTCTAGGAAGAACAGTTTAGAACTGATAGAGCTATCCAGTATAAATAAAGTTAGTTTAATTTAGGTTTCCTCCTGTAGTAACACTGGATCAATAAGAGATGAGTCTTACTGGACCTCTAGGAAGAACAGTTTAGAACTGATAGAGCTATCCAGTATAAATAAAGTTAGTTTAATTTAGGTTTCCTCCTGTAGTAACACTGAATCAATAAAGGATTGAAATCAGCTTTTCTAGCAAAACATCTCGCAAAATATGAAGATATTTTAATAATATACAAAATCACACAATATCAATGCATGGGAAATAGCACTTCTATGCGAATAAAATCAAAAAGCAAACACCACAACAACAACTACATTCAAAACAAAGTACTTCCTACCTTTTTTCAAAAAATTCACGGTCCTTTCCAAAGAAAAACAAATGAAATATATTTTAAAAAACACAATAGTTTATTCATCCGCCATAGACGCGCGGCTACGTATTCGGGAGATTGGGGCAGAGTAAACGTGGCAAAAGTGAGTGTGCGCATATTTTTTTATAAACACCGCATTCAAACTGCCGGCGTTTTTCTGAAATTTTACTAAAATTCTCAAAAATCCTATTTTTTTATTTCTTTATTTCAATCAAAAGAGTTATATTTAATCTTACAATAGTCCATGTCATATTAGCTATTAAATCCAGGATAGAATGATTAAAAAAGCTATCATTTTGTTAAAAAATTGAATTGTTTGTGATATGCAGATTCAAGATGGCGGGTTTTTTTAATTACCAATACTCCTAATTGTCCCAAAATATCCCTCATACAAAAATTATACCCAAGCTGGTGTGATGAAATATCCATATATCTATGGAAATATCCCTTGAAAGGACCCAAATATCCATCAACGTCCACAAATTTCCTACTACATAATATACCACAATGTTCATCAACTATCCCATAATACCCATCTCTACTACTAGATATTGCGAAACAATTCACAATTTACTCACAAATGCCCTTATCTACCTCCATCGCAAAATAAAAATTTCGTAAATAAATTTTGCCAAATGGCAAGTTTTGCTGGCGAAGGAGAAAACAATTCGGACGAAAACGACTCGAATTCTAGCATTTCGGACCCCGATAGCGACACTATGTTAAAAACAGAGACAGCTAGTATTGTCCGCCAGTTTGTTTATGACAGATTCGAAGAGGAAAACGAGGCGATAGACTCTACAAGTCAAGACGAAATTCCGGTACTCGAAACGGCGAGACCAGACGCCTTGGAAGAACTGAGAAGCGTTCGCGAAGAAAATGAGCCTGACTCGACTGCCGTGCGAGTTAGCAGACGCCTTCGGGAAATCGGAGACGAAATTCAAAATAAGTACCAGGACGAGTTTCAGGATATGATAAACCAGTTAAATTTAACGTCTGCTAATGCGTACAAGTCTTTTGCCGAAGTCGCCCGAAGGTTGTTTAAGAATGGAATAACATGGCATCGTATTGTGGCATTGTTGTGTTTTGGTTATGAGATTACGAAGCATGTGTTGCGAAATGGACTCGCTGGAACGTACATGAGGAAAATATATCAATTGATTGTTGATTTTATTGTCAACGAGAGAATCGCAGCATGGATTGCCCAGCACGGGGGATGGGTCAGTTCACATTTGTAGTTTTATTTTCAAGCTCCCCCCACACACATTGCCCCCATTGTGAACATTTTTCATTTTGAATGCTTATTCTACATATTGTGATTTCGATATTGAATAGACTTGCGTAAACGACATATCGAAACTGATTTAGAAGATGTTATCAGCCGTTCCAGGAAAGATCCACACTCGACCCATAGAGGAAATTAATAGCAAGTGTATTAGGACATTCGAAGGGGGTTAACATACAATTTCCTCTTTGGTGGAGTACAGGTGTTTTCTGGAATTATGACCAACATTAATTCGTCAAACTTGTTTTGCCGAGATCCTGCTTGAAAGAGACCAGACTTCACTTACTATCATTTGCCGTGTTTGTAGAGATGATGGCGGAAAATAGCCAATAACCTTGTACATAATGATGTCACAAGGCTTGATGCCCACATGGAATGCTAGTGTTAAAAGTCGTCGCGAGGAAAATTTCAATAGTGGCCATTTTGAATTGTTTAATTTTCCTAGGTAATGACTACTAAGACCAGCATTCCTCATGGGTATCAAATCTGACATCATTATGCATAAGGTTTACTAAGTTGCAATGTGCCATACTTTATTATTTTACTCTGTCTAATGCCGAACAATTTTCCTGGTGAAAGGGAGAATTCTGGTGCTCAGTGGGTTATGAACTGTCAAGACAATGTCAAAATTATCCCAGAATGACAAATTCATCCTCTTTTTTGGGCAGTCTCTGGGCCAGTGCATGTTTCTATAAGCAGCTCCTTAATCTACTAAATCCAATTCCCAATGGCATACACTGACAATATTGCTGTGAGCAATACTTTTATTCTGGCAAAAAAATAGATATTCTCATTGAAAGAGGAGAGTATGGTTACCCTGAGCTGTCAATGCTTCCTAATATTGTTGTACCAACTAAGTTGCACCATACTTTGTTGCACCATACTGTTTGCACCATACTTTATTATTTTAGTCCTAAAACCAGAGTCATGGGGTTGTTTGTTTCAAAGGCTGCACAGAAATATCAGATTTATTTCTCGTGTTGAACATGATATCGAGAGTCAGCGCAGCAAACGAGTGAGATATTAGCGAGGTTAAGATGTACCAAATCTACAACGTGGACGTGACATAAAAACTGTTGCTAATGTTTGGAATCCAGTTTTATTTTGCTTCACTAGTGTGTGTCTGACTTTGCTTATCAACTGGAGGCCATAATTTTTATCTGTGTACTGAAACTGTGGGAATAGTTAGTTTTTCTTCATGTCTGCGTCGTAGATTTGGTGCATCTTAAGCTCGCTATTGTGTTCAGCACGAGAAATAAATGTGGTATTTCCAAGCATCCATGTATGTTTCTGTTTATTATATAAAGGGCAGTCTTTGAAAAGCGATAATTTTCACATGTGAAATCATAAATAATCTCACATGTGAGATCAGTTTTAAGCAGTGAAAAGCACTATACTTTACATAATAATTAATGTTAATTTTTATTTTTTTAGCTTGGGTTCCTGGCAGATTTTCGATTGAGTGAGCCAAGTTGGTCTACGGTCGCTGCAGTTCTGGCTGTTGGAGTATTATGCCTACTTTGGACCATGAGAACCGCTGAAAAATAACCAGCTACCATGTATATGCAATTTTAAATTCAGCAAATATTAACAATATGAAAGCTTTTAAACTCACTGACACTATAGTCTTGTTTACATCAATAGTTTTTAGATAGTGTGTTATTTTAAACAGTTTTCTATACTGGTTGACAATGTATAAAAAAATTTATACTTAATATAATAGCCCAACAAGCTTTTGTGGTTGTAAAATAATTGTTTGAGTTGTTACTCTGAGTGTATATCCACACTGGGCAAGCTTGAAAAATATGCCTGGCCATGATGGAAATCGAACCTGCGACCTACTTGGAATACTAACCCAATGCTCTGCCAACTGAGCTATGCGGTCAGGTCGGTTTGAGTATGTGGTATTTTTCAGAACTGAGTCTAGTTCCTTTGATATCAACTATTTTTTCTGTGTTAGTGCTGGTATTCCAAAGGTCGTAGGTTTGATTCTCAAAGATAAAAAGTCATATCTTCATGTCGCTGTGTAATATCCTCTATTTCAGTTTATATTACTTCAGAGCAGTGACTTGTCTCAATTTTGTGTACATGCTTCCAAATACAAGCTTACATGCATAAAAATCTCAGAACTTGTCAACAAGAAATGTTCGCACTGCTTGTTCCCAGTATGTCAAGTCTGCAACACGTTATCATCTTGTTGCAAGGTTGACGAGGCCAACAGACTTGCAACAAGTCTGCATGTAACAAGTTGAAGATCAATAAATTGTGGAAACAAAATGTTTTTAAAAGTACATTAATTAACCAAAAAACTGTCAATGTCTCCATTTAACCCACTGAGTCATAGTGTGCCCTACTTATCCTTTTACTTGTCTTGCTCTGCAGCTTTGGGTATTACACTAAAATGCACAATTGGGATTTTCAAAAAGACAATGGAATATTTTGATCACCAGATCATGACTGGTAATTAAAAGAACATCCATCAATCATTGCTCACACTTTTATAATTTAAACCCACCACCTTTCATAATTTAAACATATTTCCAGACAACGTAAGCAACAACAGGCATAACAAAGCCTGTTAGTAATGCAGACACAAAGTTAACACCGTGATTACTTAAGATCGCTCGTCCACAAATATGCTTTGTAGTTGACGAAGGCTCGTGTACAATCCGTCTCTGAACGTCACAATACCCGGAATATTGTAATTTTGCCCCAATTAATGAGTCAATTAACGATCCAATTAGCCCACCCAGCAGTCCAGTTACAACTATAGGCCACTGGGATGGGTACTTATCAAGTGTCATGTCATAAGTCATTATTGCAACCATGGTAACATAATACGCAACACCAACTATGGTACCACCTACTAAACTGGCAATGGTACCGACTATCGTAACCCCACCATTAGTACCAACTGGTACCAAACGAAGAGTCGTTATCAAACGAGGACTGGTACCATACACCGATCCGATCTCTGATGCCCATGTGTCGCCACTGCTACATGCTATAGAGCCGAGAACAGCCACCGAGAAGATCGAGGCATTAAACTCGTGAGCAAAGTCAATAGGTTGTTCCCGACAACCAACGTCAACAAGATACAACACTGATGCAGCAACTGCAACTCCACCATTACAAACAACTTGCACCAAGTTCCGTTGGCCACCTGCATAACAAAAAGATTTATCTTGACTAAAGTTTTTTTTTATCACAGAATCAGTCAAATTGTAATCAACGCTAGGCTTTGCATTCAATTCGGCTTTGTATTGCACTTTTTTCCAGTCAGAAGCTGTGATTGGTCTGTCACCTCTTTGTAAGGAATGTCGCCTGTCGGCCATAACCCCTTGGTGGGCCTCACTAATAACTAGTAGGAAGTGGTTATGGGTCCGACATTTCCTTAATCATTAAACTTGTTAACTATAAAACCGTGTAAATTTAATTGAATTTCAAGCGAATCCTCCATAGTGTTGTGGTTTAGGTACCCATGTTGCATGCGCCAAGCCCTGGGATTGAATCCTGCTTGCTCCACTATTTTATTAATTTTTTATACTTTTTTTCTTCGTGGTTTTCGCAAGTTTTTACAATTTTTGGTTAGGTTAGGGTTAGTTTTCAGGGTTAGAGTTCCGTTTAGTGGTTTAGTGTTAGCTTTTAAAGCGTCGTCGGACCTTTAGCTGTGAAGCAAGAAGGTCCGGTGTCGGACCTATAACCATGGCGTATAAACTAATAAGTGCTTCGTATTAACTGCATGGTAATTAGCTACTTTTGATTTGTATTAATATAAATAATATATATACTTTGTTTTGGTAATTTTACAACACTGTTTCTGAGACAATACTAGCCTGCTCGCAGGCCGTTGTCAGGCAGAGGCTGAGCAGGCTAAGACAATACCAAACCTACCCATTGTAATAATATCGATTTTATCGATTACTGATTTTATCGATTGTTATTTGATAATTGCATAGAAATTATCCAACTATTATATAAAGTAATCAATTCAAGTCCAATATATATTTGAATTGAAGCATCACTTACCTTCTTTGAAGTCATATTCAATATTGCGTTTGACGTCTGCCTTCAGTTTAGTTACGAACGAGCCAGACACGAAAAAGGCAAGCAAGGCAGAGAAAAAGCAAAAATTCGTAAAAGTCAATACAAATCCAACAACCAGCGAAGACAACGCACCACTGAGATTCAGCGATTTTTTCTTATAACCACGATTTACGATAAGTAGAGGAACTGCGATGGAAAATGCAAGTCGTACTGCCAAGGGGATGTTCATTTTTTTGATTCAACAAAGAATTGTACAATTTCCGTGTATAGTATAGCTCAGTGGTACAAATATTGCACAAGTACAAAGTTCAATCGTCAGACATTTTGATTTTTTTTTGACCACAGGAACTTTCGCCCTAGTATGCGGGAAAGTTCCCCAGGGGGCAACAAGCTCGGTCCCAGACTCTCAGCCTCGTTCCAGTGCTGCCTCCTCCGCAGGCCCTCGTTGTGTCATGGGAAGGTCACGATTTCGAGAGGGCCTGCGGAATCTTGTAAAATGAATAAATGTTGTTTTGAACCTGCTTCGTTAAAGAAGGCAGTTTTATTCGTGCAACGTTGGTGTGGACAACAAACCTTATCGTTAAAAAATGCTTCTTTCCACGTCCTAAGAGTCGCCAGTTTAATTTACAAGTTTCACGCCGCTTTTTTATATCCTGTTTATATTCAAGATTATGTAGAAATTTACTTGCTGACGTGACGCCGGCGGCCATTTTTTTTTACAAGATTCCGCAGGCCCTCGCCAGATCGCGACCTTCCCATGACGCAACGAGGGCCTGCGGAGGAGGCAGGTTCCAGTGTGACCAGACGTGGTAATTTCATTACTACCGTGGTAATTTTTCGTCATTTTTGGACAATTGTGGTAATTGGAAATTTGTGGTAATTACTACGGTAATTTCAGAACTACCGTGGTAATTTTTCGTCAATTTCGGCCGATTGTGGTAATTTGAAATTTCCTGACCTTAAATGTACAGATTTTGGTGAAAAACCCCTAAATTTTACAGAATTTGGTGAAAAAAAACTGGTTTTGGCCTTGGGGAATTTTTCGAAAAAATATGGTAAAATTGGAAAAATATAGCACCGTGGTAATTTCAGACCGAAAATAGTAATTTTTGAAACCGGATGTGGTAATTTGCCCTGAAAAAACCTGGTCACACTGCCTCGTTCCCAGATGTTTGTGATTCTGTTTTTTACCATGAGGGGAAGACCATAGGTTTTACAAACACAGGAGGCAGGGGTTATCATTTGGAATGTAAGCCTGCGCAGAACGTATGCGCAGAGACAAAACATCATAGCATGAAAGAGCATCACAAAATTAGTAATATTCCAAAGTTTCGTTGCGAAATGTTGTAAAATGCAGATAATATAGCCTTATATATATACATACATACATATCCTACATATACATTGAACAATTTTACATTCACCTACAGACATTGCAAAATGTTGTAAAATGCGGATAATATAGCCTTGCGAAGTTTGTAATTTTCAGCCATTTCACAGTTGCATTACGCACAGAAGTGGTAACCATTTCCCGTTTGTAATCTAAAGTGACTGAAAATTGCAAACTTCACACAGCTATATTATCCGCATTTTACAACATTTTGCAACGAAACTTTGGAATATTACTAATTTTGTGATGCTCTTTCAAGCTGTTATGAAATTTTTGTCTAGACTTGAGTTCAAAATTTTGGTTAATTGGGGAATGGTTAGATTTGTCACAAGTCGGCCTCGAACGAAACGCGAGCTACGAGCGCGCTCGCTCGACTTGTGGCAAGTCTAGGAATGGTCCATTGGCTTGTTTATCACAGTTTAGAACTCAGTGCGCATATTCCACATATTCAATATATTAGGGATTATTAGGGACCGGTCATTATTTATGGCGAGGGGGGGGGGGAGGGGTAGTCTCTCTCGCAGACGTTCTTATAGCTTTAACCCTCCCTAACTAAAGCCGGTTTTCCACTAGGCGGAATTTTGCTCGAGGAGCGGAATTTCCCTTTGTCTTTTCTAATTAGTTTCACCCGAGAAATCACAAGACAAAGAAAAATTCTGCTCCGCGCGCAAAATTCCGCCTAGTGGAAAACCGGCTTAACGCCAATCCACGGAACTATATAACATGGAAGGCCGACTCGAGCTCAAAAAGTGAAGCCAAACATGGCGGTTCACTGCGTCAATCTCGTACCCAGAGCAATGCCTGTGCGCGGGCTAGGATGGCATTGGCTCTGGGGAAATTGACAACCGGAACTCCTAAACTTAGGGGTTCCGGTTCTTTGTCGGCATGCACGAATGATAAACGTTAACCAATCATAGCACAGGAAAAATTCAATTTTCCCAGAGCCAATGCAATCCTAGCCCGCGCACAGGCATTGCTCTGGGTACGAGATTGGCTTAATCTGCTGAAACGAGCTGCACATTTCATTCACTTTGTTTTAGGACTCAATCATCTGGCAGTGTTCAAAAGAGTTTGAGCCAATTGTAAGCCGCCTTATTGAGGATCTAGCTACTGGGGAAAGCCCTAGCACATGGCAATATATTGTTTGGGTTGAAATTCGTTTACTTGCGTGGACATATTTTGGAAACTATTAACTATAGCCTTGAACTTCACGATGTTTACGTATAATAATATTCAAGTAGTAACGTAGGACAAATATCAATATCTTTAAATTCAATTTCTGTGCAATTTTGACCAAAATTCAACCGACGACTGCTTTCAAAATATAAAAATTTTTATGTACTATTTATTCCGCCCGTAAATCACTTTTCGAAATATAGAAGGTTCGCTGTGATTGGTCGATCGTAGGGAATGGAATGTGCAGCTCCGTTTCAGAAGAAGTTAGCATAGAAATCAAAATGCATCAAAGCCTCGCTAGATGAGCCCCTCTCCAACACCTCTTCCTTGCAAAAATTTTAGAACAATCCAGTCCTACCATCGCTCTACAAAAAATTAAGATATACTACTCTATACCATTTGGCGTGTTTTCTGTATCTGATTGACCGATCAGAAGCATTGAGCGGAAGTCAAATCTGAACCTCTATTATTGAACAGAGAACAAATTCACAGCAACGCATTTGAAGTCTTCCTACAATTTTATACCAATTCATTGGAGAGATCATTTCATCAATTACTCGCAAAGTCCCATATTTGATAATTTCTGGACAGTTGCTGCCTTCCAAAGCCAAACGTTCCACAAACGGGATTTTGTCTAGTGCTTGTGCCGTCTTTTACACAACCCAATACTTTATTGCATGCAATGGCATTACAACGCCAATAGATTATTGGTTACAACGTGCGGAATGGGTGGCAGTTCAGTCTCAGCCAGGACTCCTGGCTTCTGGCAACGGATTATCCCAAGAGCTCCAGAGCCTTCTCGAGGATCGCAGGCTCGGGGAACGAGATTGTGAGAAGTACATCTTTTAAATGGTAGCTATACAACGTCTGTCATGCTTATACTTTGTTACCGATATAACAAAAGTGCTATGATTAACCATTAAGTCCTAGCGCTCTCCCGTGAATAAAATCAGGGCGCAATGCGAATCAATGGGTTAACCAGACACTTGGTCAGATAAGTCAGTTAACCATTAAGCGCCAGCGCATTTCCCTTGACGAACAAAATCGTCTGGAATTAGACAGAGTAAAATAATGTGACTCAATGGGTTAATTTAAAAGAAATTAGATTGATTAATTTTACACTTACGTTCATAAACAACAAGTTAGGAAAATTGCTTTTAGTTCGTTCAATTGTGCCCCTTAAAGAGACCTGCACTTCTAGTAATATCGCAGTATTTTCATTTTTCGATCGATCACAATATACAATGTACTGTTAAGTATCCATATGTTAAAGAAAAATAGCAACAAAAGTTATGTCTGCAAGCATTGCCCATGCAAATAAAAAAGGGTTAATATTTATTTACGAACTGTTTTGAAATCTGCCACCAAAAACTCATACATAACTTGTGATTTAGTTTAAAATACCGACAGAAGTATAACTATAGAATTTCACATTGAAATGACCTGAAAATTGCTTGACAAAATTATTTTACCCTGGTTGGGAACGCCATATGCACAACATGTGACAATGGCATTCTAATCCAAGAAAGAGAAATGCAGAATCAATTTGCTATACAAATAAGCTGTAACAAATTTTGTAACAAAAATGACAAAGAAAATCTGTATTATGGTTTTGAAATACGGTGAATCTAAAGGAAAACTAATATTTGTTGCTATTTCAGTATTTCCCTTTAAATTATGTATCACTTTTGTCTTAACTTAACACAACTATATACTTGTTCATAGTAATAATAACAAAAGTTGTGATGGTAATGATTTCGTACTCAATCTACCTACTATCATCTGAAGTTCTTCTGGTTCATTATAGTAATACTTCACCAATGTCTATTATATGGCTTGTTTCCTCTTCATCATTATCCACACGATTCCTGGCTTGTATTTGGTTGTTTTATTTCTTCATTACTGCAAGTGATCCGCTTTAACTTGTATCGCGCTGAGCTTTGCTGGATGGTTTTTGCTCAGACTTTGTCTCCATCTTTGATGACATCTTCGTGTTAATTAGTCCGTAGGGAATAATAACGGTGTTGTGCGACTTAAGTTCCCTTGGGCAGGAAGGCACATTGCCAACTTCATTGGAAAATAATTCAAAGGTACAATATACACATAGAACAATTCAAAGGGATGAACAGTATGCAAAGACCGCATACATTCGCACAGCTTTTCAATCACATACATGTTACAACCACAAACATACACTAATTGAAAGACCACATTCACCTATACAGACATAGGACAATTTTACATTCACTTATATACATTGCAGAGTTTACATTCACCTATCGATATTGGACAATTTTACATTCACCTACATATACATTGGAGAGTTTACATTCACGTACAGACATTGGACAATTTTACATTCACCTACAGACATTTGACAATTTTACTTTCACCTACAGACATTGAACAATTTTACATTCACGTACAGACATTGGACAATTTTGCATTCACCAGAAAAACATTGAACAATTTCGCATCAAATACATAAGATGCAAATGAAACAATGCATTTATTGAGCACGTGTAGGCCACGAAAATCAGGGCTCCTAAAGGTCACTTGGACTTATTTCAAACGGTGTACTTCATATTATGTGGAATTTCCCAGAACAAACATTTGATGTAGCAAATAAAAAGGCATTAGTGCCTTTGTGCCCAATGGTTGCTTTTGTGCCAGACAAATACCGGCTCCCCCGACTTTGGTATTTAGAAAAAAAGGAATAATACATTATATATTTTTATATTGGCTATTAACAAACACACTTATATATATATATATATATATATATATATATATATATATATATATATATATATATATATATATATATATATATATATATATATATATAAATGTCGGCCCCTATTTTTCCCCAAAAAAGGTTAAAAAAGTTTTTTCGGACAAATACGAGTAAAATTAAAGTTCAAAAAAAATTTTTCGGACAAAGACCTGTAAAATCATGGCTAAAACACATTCCAACCAATACTAGCAAAATTAAAGTCCAAAACACTTCTCTCATACCATGACTTATATAAAAGACGTTCCAAATTATCATTCTTTTAATTACACCTTGCAAAAGGATATATGTTGGGGCCCCTTTAACTGGGGCCGGGGCAAATTGCAACCCCCCCCCCCAGCCCTGTCTCTACATGCAGTCAAAATGTTTTGGGTATTACATTCTAACGTATAATTTTATTATTTTGTACTTTATCCTAATACATCCCCGTTCTGTTTTGAGGCCTACATCTTATTTTATTATTCCAAATATTTTTTTCTTTCTGTTATTATAAAGATAATTTAACTAACATGTTTATCAATTTCTTAGTATTTTATCGCGTTCTGTCATTCTAAAAACCACAGACACATCAACTGCCTGGGTAAAAATGGGAAGATGTCAATAATTTACGACGTAAAGGATGGAGACAATTAATGAACACCCTGAGTTCCAGTCTTCCTAAGAGCGTTGGACTATAAATAGAACGCCCTAGTCAGCCCGATACGAAAACTCTGGAAGAAGCGATCTGGAGAGAAAAAGCGACTATATATCAAGAAGTTTATTTTAAAATGAGTGAAAGTTTTACATGTATTTTGTATTTGTGTGGTTTTTACATATACTTTGTATTTGTGTGGCATACGATCTGAAGAAATGACTATCACAAGCTGGTGTCTCGCAGGGATCGGTATTGAATCCTATATGATTTCGATGATCCTATATGATTATGACGATAATTTTCACATGTGAGATTATCAATATCATGAATAATCTCACATGTGAGATTATCACTTTTATCAGTGCTCGAAATCTCTATAAAGCACTAGATACTTTATATAATAAAACAGCTTAATACCTACGTCAGATTTGACTAATTAACTTATAGGATTTGTTGTGTTCACAACATGTACAATTTATAACAATAACAACAATTTATACAAAATTGATATACACAGTGTGGATAAAAAACCTCAACAGATTTGAAATTGATCCCAATTTCGCCAAAAAATAATTAAAGGTGTAAAGCCATGTAATTGTATGAAATTTCGTTGCTCAAAACAAAATAGGATTAAAGCTGTTAATTCTTGTGTGCAAGCCATTTTTAGTTTCTTGTAAAAGACACCTCCCTGTTTTACAAAATTTGAGATTGAGGCAAACCTCAGACTTGCTAATTCTTCATATCGTGCTCAACCTCATTCAATAATGGTTAAATTATACATGTTTAAAGATATGTGATCCAGGCATATTATAATTATAATTAAAGTTTTCCGGATTGAAATATACTTTTATATTATTTTTTATATATATCTCCTCCTTCTTAACAGATCCAAACAGCTCAATTTTTGCCGAATGAATGCAACAATTCGCTGACTCTTTTATGAGTGAGGGTGCCCCCCTCCTATCCCCTCTGACGCCGCCCAGGCTGTTTGGTCATGACGTCTTTGTCGTTACTGATTCGTTGCATTGTCGTGCTCGATGGCTTGACGTCAAATCACGAGTGACTAGGGCTTTTACTCAGCAGGTGGCACTTGATTTGCAGGTTAATCCCTTCGCCCCGCTCCCAAATTGCCTGGGTTCCGGTCTTCTGACGAGCGCTGGACAATAAATAGAACGCCCTCAGGCAGCCCGATGCCTGAAACGAAAACTCGAGGTTTTTATACTAGGTTCTCAGACAATATGAGTAGTGTAAGTTTTACTTATATTTTGCATTTGTGTGCTTTATTGTACCTTGTATGGTTATTACATGTATTTTGTATATTGTGTGGTATACAACAGTCAAGGAGTTAATAGATAACAGTTGGTAAAATATAAAATGGCGTTGAATCTGAAGAAATGACTATCACAAGCGGGTGTCCCGCAGGGATCAATATTGGATCCTAAATTATTTCTTTTATATATAAAGGATATTCAGTATTGCTGTGAATTCGTTTCTATTGTAAATACGTCTATTTTTTATTGATACGATGTAATTTGGGCGAGTTAGTTAATAAATAAATAAAATATTATTCTTGTACAATTAAAAAGCGAATTAATCATCTTTATTTTCAGAGACGTGTTGGGAGACCGTCAAGATTCCCATATGCAGTGGAGCAAGTCTTGGCCGCCATGGGGCAGGTGGAGGGATCACCACAAGGGGAGACATGGCGGCTAGACGATGGGTACTGGGCAAAGGTTGCCCGCGTTCTTGGCCATCCCAGTCCGGCCACAAATAAAAAAGTGAGAACGAAGTTATACTTTCGGTATAACCGTGACAGGAAAATAGCTGGCAAAAAAATTGGCAATGGCGTTTAAGGTAAGATAAGTGACAAAGCAAAATAATTTGTGATAATTTATTTGGGGTAATTGTTCACAATCATAACTCCAATTATTTTCCACAGGTGTTGCTCCATGAAAACTGCAACAAGCAGGAAATATTGAATACCGGCGAAGCCATGGCCAAAAAAATTACGCCACAAGCAACGGCAGTCTTCATCTTTTTAGGCTACGGCTTAGGACTGGGTCAGTTACTAATCATTTCATATTCTTAACTATATAAACTAGATATGGACACCTTTATTATATCGAGTCTGGTTAACTATGCAGGTCAAAGGTGTCGTCGTATTAGCTATATATTCTGAAAGGTTAAGCCAATTGTTACCGATTTATGACATTGTCGTCGTGCTCGATGACTTCACATCCAATCATCAATAAGGCATTTATGTGACAGGTGGCACTTGATTTGCTGGTTAAACCCTTCCCCCTACGCCCAAATTGACTAGGCAAAAAGTTCCAAAAAGCCTGCTGGCCTTATGTTGCATAATGTATATAGTTATGTTATGATTAATTAAAATTTGAACAAAATAAACGTGTAAAATTTCGAGTAAAAAAGATAGGAATACAACATATGTGCTCTTACTCGGGTGATTCAAGTTCACTGAAACCGCTAACGAAACTGAAAGCGCTAGCGCAAGATTTCAGATGGCGTGCACTGATATACGCATTGCGTGCCTATTTTTTCTAACGTTGACAGCAAATGCAAATAACAATCACTTCAAGGTTGAACGCAATTATTAAAATTTCTATTTTTTAATTCTTTCTAGTCAATCTGGCAAGCCGGCCTATGACTTTAGGTTTGTGAGGCACCTGCTGTCAAACATCGACGCCCAGGTAGATTTGAACAAGATTCTGGCGGATGTAATGAAGGTTTGATTTTATAATTCTTTGCATATTTTATCATGTTTCTTTGGCATATTTTATTATGTTTCTTTGGCATATTTTATTATGTTTCATTGGCATATCTTATGTTTCGTTGGCATATTTTATCATGCTTTGTTTACACGTGGAACATACACTTCGTTATATCACTCCCTTTTGTGCACGGTTCAATTTTCCTGTCGCCATTCCCCCACCCGGACACCCGCAGAATTTGCAGATATTTTTTATTTCCAAAATGCCAATTCTCTACCCCTGGGCAAACAAAGTAAGCCAACGATTTGTAATATGTCCAGTAATACTTTCATGTATATTATTAATTATTTACTAATTTTGTATCGTTTATCTAGAATTGGATACATCATTACATTCAAGTTCGGTTTTCTTCAACAGGCATGGGAGAAAAGGCGCCGTGAAAGCTAGCTATTGTAAGGAACGTTTGTTCTTCATTTTATATCTTAACATAAAATTATCATAAACTAAACTACAAAAATTGCTGATATATAAATTCTTTTTATGTTGTGCACTGCCATTTTGTATGAAATTTTAAGTAAAAAAAATACGAATCGGACAACCATGGCTGTTACTCAAATTACGTCCACTCAAAAAAATTAAAAATATGAACAAAATAAATGTGTATTATATTATGAAACTTTCCGAACTTCACGGCATAACCACTTAACAAAGGTTGACCGCTTAACAAAGGTTGACAGGTTAGACTGTGTTATTGTTATAAATCAGGGTGTGATAATTCAGTATTTTTAGCCGTACCTGACTGGTACTCCCAACACAATGTTTGCCAAGTACTAATGAGCTGTTACGACAAACTTAAGAGTCGAGGTGTACCCAGGGCTATATATATATATATATCCCCTCCTTCCCAACAGATCCAAACAGCTCAATTTTCCCCGAATGAATGCAACAATTCGCTGACTCTTTCATGAGTGGGGGTGCTCCCCTCCTACCCCCTCTGACGCCGCCCAGGCTGTTTGGTCATGACGTCATTGTCGTTACTGATTCGTTGCATTGTCGTGCTCGATGGCTTGACGTCAAATCACGAGTGACTAGGGCCTTTACTCGGCAGGTGCACTTGATTTGCAGGTTAATCCCTTCGCCCCGCCCCCAAATTGCCTGGGTTCCGGTCTTCTGACGAGCGCTGACTATAAATAGAACGCCCTCAGGCAGCCCGATGCCTGAAACGAAAACTCGAGGTCTTTCAAGTTTCAATATGAGTCGTGTAAGTGTTACTTATATTTTGCATTTGCGTCCTTTATTGTACTTGTATGGTTATTACATGTATTTTCTATATTGTGTGGTATACAAGGAGTAAATAGATAACAGTTGGTAAAATATAAAATGGCGTTGAATCTGAAGAAATGACTATCACAAGCGGGTGTCCCGCAGGGATCAATATTGGATCCTAAATTATTTCTTTTATACATAAAGGATATTCAGTATTGCTGTGAATTCGTTTCTATTGTAAATACGTCTATTTTTTATTGATACGATGTAATTTGGGCGAGTTAGTTAATAAATAAATAAAATATTATTCTTGTACAATTAAAAAGCGAATTAATCATCTTTATTTTCAGACACGTGTTGGAAGACCCTCTAGGTTTACACATTCAGTGGAGCAAGTCTTGGCCGCCATGGGGCAGGTGGAGGGATCACCACAACGGGAGACATGGCGGCTAGACGATGGGTACTGGGCAAAGGTTGCCCGCGTTCTTGGCCATCCCAGTCCGGCCACAAATAAAAAAGTGAGAACAAAGTTATACTTTCGGTATAACCGTGACTGGAAAATAGCTGGCAAAAAAATTGGCAATGGCGTTTAAGGTAAAATAAGTGACAAGACAAAATAATTTGTGATAATTTATTTGTGGTAATTGTTCGCAATCATTAACTCCAATAATTGTCCACAGGTGTTGCTCCATGAAAACTGCAACAAGCAGGAAATATTGAATACCGGCGAAGCCATGGCCAAAAAAATTACGCCACAAGTAACGGCAGTCTTCATCTTTTTAGGCTACGGCTTAGGACTGGGTCAGTTACTAATCATTTCATATTCTTAACTATATAAACTAGATGTGGACACCTTTATTATATCGAGTCTGGTTAACTATGCAGGTCAAAGGTGTCGTCGTATTAGCTATATATTCTGAAAGGTTAAGCCAATTGTTACCGATTTATGACATTGTCGTCGTGCTCGATGACTTCACATCCAATCATCAATAAGGCATTTATGTGACAGGTGGCACTTGATTTGCTGGTTAAACCCTTCCCCCTACGCCCAAATTGACTAGGCAAAAAGTTCCAAAAAGCCTGCTGGCCTTACACTGCATAATGTATATAGTTATGATATGATTAATTAAAATTTGAACAAAATAAACGTGTAAAATTTCGAGTAAAAAAGATAGGAATATAACATATGTGCTCTTACTAGGGTGATGCAAGTTCACTGAAACCGCTAACGAAACTGAAAGCGCTAGCGCAAGATTTCAGATGGCGTGCACTGATATACGCATTGCGTGCCTATTTTTTCTAACGTTGACAGCAAATGCAAATAACAATCACTTCAAGGTTAAACGCAATTATTACAATTTCTATTTTTTAATTCTTTCTAGTCAATCTGGCAAGCCGGCCTATGACTTTAGGTTTGTGAGGCACCTGCTGTCAAACATCGACGCCCAGGTAGATTTGAACAAGATTCTGGCGGATGTAATGACGAAGGTTTGATTTTATAATTCTTTGCATATTTTATCATGTTTCTTTGGCATATTTTATTATGTTTCATTGGCATATCTTATGTTTCGTTGGCATATTTTATCATGCTTTGTTTACACGTGGAACATACACTTCCTTATACCACTCTCCCTTTTGTGCACGGTTCAATTTTCCTGTCGCCATTCCCCCACCCGGACACCCGCAGAATTTGCAGATATTTTTTATTTCCAAAATGCCAATTCTCTACCCCTGGGCAAACAAAGTAAGCCAACGATTTGTAATATGTCCAGTAATATTTTCATGTATATTATTAATTATTTACTCATTTTGTATCGTTTATCTATCTAGAATTGGATACATCATTACATTCAAGTTCGGTTTTCTTCAACAGGCATGGAAGAAAAGGCGCCGTGAAAGCTAGGTATTGTAAAGAACGTTTGTTCTTTATTTTATATCTTAGCATAAAATAAACATAAACTAAACTACAAAAATTGCTGATATATAAATTCTTTTTATGTTGTGCACTGCCATTTTGTATGAAATTTTAAGTAAAAAAAATACGAATCGGACAACCATGGCTGTTACTCAAATTACGTCCACTCAAAAAAATTAAAAATATGAACAAAATAAATGTGTATTATATTATGAAACTTTCCGAACTTCACGGCATAACCACTTAACAAAGGTTGACCGCTTAACAAAGGTTGACAGGTTAGACTGTGTTATTGTTATAAATCAGGGTGTGATAATTCAGTATTTTTAGCCGTACCTGACTGGTACTCCCAACACAATGTTTGCCAAGTACTAATGAGCTGTTACGACAAACTTAAGAGTCGAGGTGTACCCAGGGCTATATATATATATATATATATATATCCCCTCCTTCCCAACAGATCCAAACAGCTCAATTTTCCCCGAATGAATGCAACAATTCGCTGACTCTTTCATGAGTGGGGGTGCTCCCCTCCTACCCCCTCTGACGCCGCCCAGGCTGTTTGGTCATGACGTCATTGTCGTTACTGATTCGTTGCATTGTCGTGCTCGATGGCTTGACGTCAAATCACGAGTGACTAGGGCCTTTACTCGGCAGGTGCACTTGATTTGCAGGTTAATCCCTTCGCCCCGCCCCCAAATTGCCTGGGTTCCGGTCTTCTGACGAGCGCTGACTATAAATAGAACGCCCTCAGGCAGCCCGATGCCTGAAACGAAAACTCGAGGTCTTTCACGTTTCAATATGAGTCGTGTAAGTGTTACTTATATTTTGCATTTGCGTGCTTTATTGTACTTGTATGGTTATTACATGTATTTTGTATATTGTGTGGTATACAAGGAGTAAATAGATAACAGTTGGTAAAATATAAAATGGCGTTGAATCTGAAGAAATGACTATCACAAGCGGGTGTCCCGCAGGGATCAATATTGGATCCTAAGTTATTTCTTTTATACATAAAGGATATTCAGTATTGCTGTGAATTCGTTTCTATTGTAAATACGTCTATTTTTTATTGATACGATGTAATTTGGGCGAGTTAGTTAATAAATAAATAAAATATTATTCTTGTACAATTAAAAAGCGAATTAATCATCTTTATTTTCAGACACGTGTTGGAAGACCCTCTAGGTTTACACATTCAGTGGAGCAAGTCTTGGCCGCCATGGGGCAGGTGGAGGGATCACCACAAGGGGAGACATGGCGGCTAGACGATGGGTACTGGGCAAAGGTTGCCCGCGTTCTTGGCCATCCCAGTCCGGCCACAAATAAAAAAGTGAGAACAAAGTTATACTTTCGGTATAACCGTGACTGGAAAATAGCTGGCAAAAAAATTGGCAATGGCGTTTAAGGTAAAATAAGTGACAAGACAAAATAATTTGTGATAATTTATTTGTGGTAATTGTTCGCAATCATTAACTCCAATAATTGTCCACAGGTGTTGCTCCATGAAAACTGCAACAAGCAGGAAATATTGAATACCGGCGAAGCCATGGCCAAAAAAATTACGCCACAAGTAACGGCAGTCTTCATCTTTTTAGGCTACGGCTTAGGACTGGGTCAGTTACTAATCATTTCATATTCTTAACTATATAAACTAGATGTGGACACCTTTATTATATCGAGTCTGGTTAACTATGCAGGTCAAAGGTGTCGTCGTATTAGCTATATATTCTGAAAGGTTAAGCCAATTGTTACCGATTTATGACATTGTCGTCGTGCTCGATGACTTCACATCCAATCATCAATAAGGCATTTATGTGACAGGTGGCACTTGATTTGCTGGTTAAACCCTTCCCCCTACGCCCAAATTGACTAGGCAAAAAGTTCCAAAAAGCCTGCTGGCCTTATGTTGCATAATGTATATAGTTATGTTATGATTAATTAAAATTTGAACAAAATAAACGTGTAAAATTTCGAGTAAAAAAGATAGGAATACAACATATGTGCTCTTACTCGGGTGATGCAAGTTCACTGAAACCGCTAACGAAACTGAATGCGCTAGCGCAAGATTTCAGATGGCGTGCACTGATATACGCATTGCGTGCCTATTTTTTCTAACGTTGACAGCAAATGCAAATTACAATCACTTCAAGGTTGAACGCAATTATTACAATTTCTATTTTTTAATTCTTTCTAGTCAATCTGGCAAGCCGGCCTATGACTTTAGGTTTGTGAGGCACCTGCTGTCAAACATCGACGCCCAGGTAGATTTGAACAAGATTCAGGCGGATGTAATGACGAAGGTTTGATTTTATAATTCTTTGCATATTTTATCATGTTTCTTTGGCATATTTTATTATGTTTCATTGGCATATCTTATGTTTCGTTGGCATATTTTATCATGCTTTGTTTACACGTGGAACATACACTTCCTTATACCACTCCCTTTTGTCCACGGTTCAATTTTCCTGTCGCCATTCCCCCACCCGGAAACCCGCAGAATTTGCAGATATTTTTTATTTCCAAAATGCCAATTCTCTACCCCTGGGCAAACAAAGTAAGCCAACGATTTGTAATATGTCCAGTAATATTTTCATGTATATTATTAATTATTTACTCATTTTGTATCGTTTATCTATCTAGAATTGGATACATCATTACATTCAAGTTCGGTTTTCTTCAACAGGCATGGAAGAAAAGGCGCCGTGAAAGCTAGGTATTGTAAGGAACGTTTGTTCTTTATTTTATATCTTAACATAAAATAAACATAAACTAAACTACAAAAATTGCTGATATATAAATTCTTTTTATGCTGTGCACTGCCATTTTGTATGAAATTTTAAGTAAAAAAAATACGAATCGGACAACCATGGCTGTTACTCAAATTACGTCCACTCAAAAAAATTAAAAATATGAACAAAATAAATGTGTATTATATTATGAAACTTTCCGAACTTCACGGCATAACCACTTAACAAAGGTTGACCGCTTAACAAAGGTTGACAGGTTAGACTGTGTTATTGTTATAAATCAGGGTGTGATAATTCAGTATTTTTAGCCGTGCCTGACTGGTACTCCCAACACAATGTTTGCCAAGTACTAATGAGCTGTTACGACAAACTTAAGAGTCGAGGTGTACCCAGGGCTATATATATATATATATATATATATCCCCTCCTTCCCAACAGATCCAAACAGCTCAATTTTCCCCGAATGAATGCAACAATTCGCTGACTCTTTCATGAGTGGGAGTGCTCCCCTCCTACCCCCTCTGACGCCGCCCAGGCTGTTTGGTCATGACGTCATTGTCGTTACTGATTCGTTGCATTGTCGTGCTCGATGGCTTGACGTCAAATCACGAGTGACTAGGGCCTTTACTCGGCAGGTGCACTTGATTTGCAGGTTAATCCCTTCGCCCCGCCCCCAAATTGCCTGGGTTCCGGTCTTCTGACGAGCGCTGACTATAAATAGAACGCCCTCAGGCAGCCCGATGCCTGAAACGAAAACTCGAGGTCTTTCAAGTTTCAATATGAGTCGTGTAAGTGTTACTTATATTTTGCATTTGCGTCCTTTATTGTACTTGTATGGTTATTACATGTATTTTCTATATTGTGTGGTATACAAGGAGTAAATAGATAACAGTTGGTAAAATATAAAATGGCGTTGAATCTGAAGAAATGACTATCACAAGCGGGTGTCCCGCAGGGATCAATATTGGATCCTAAATTATTTCTTTTATACATAAAGGATATTCAGTATTGCTGTGAATTCGTTTCTATTGTAAATACGTCTATTTTTTATTGATACGATGTAATTTGGGCGAGTTAGTTAATAAATAAATAAAATATTATTCTTGTACAATTAAAAAGCGAATTAATCATCTTTATTTTCAGAGACGTGTTGGAAGACCCTCTAGGTTTACACATTCAGTGGAGCAAGTCTTGGCCGCCATGGGGCAGGTGGAGGGATCACCACAAGGGGAGACATGGCGGCTAGACGATGGGTACTGGGCAAAGGTTGCCCGCGTTCTTGGCCATCCCAGTCCGGCCACAAATAAAAAAGTGAGAACAAAGTTATACTTTCGGTATAACCGTGACTGGAAAATAGCTGGCAAAAAAATTGGCAATGGCGTTTAAGGTAAAATAAGTGACAAGACAAAATAATTTGTGATAATTTATTTGTGGTAATTGTTCGCAATCATTAACTCCAATAATTGTCCACAGGTGTTGCTCCATGAAAACTGCAACAAGCAGGAAATATTGAATACCGGCGAAGCCATGGCCAAAAAAATTACGCCACAAGTAACGGCAGTCTTCATCTTTTTAGGCTACGGCTTAGGACTGGGTCAGTTACTAATCATTTCATATTCTTAACTATATAAACTAGATGTGGACACCTTTATTATATCGAGTCTGGTTAACTATGCAGGTCAAAGGTGTCGTCGTATTAGCTATATATTCTGAAAGGTAAAGCCAATTGTTACCGATTTATGACATTGTCGTCGTGCTCGATGACTTCACATCCAATCATCAATAAGGCATTTATGTGACAGGTGGCACTTGATTTGCTGGTT